CTGGCCTGGTGGCTCAGCTGGTTGGCGCATCATCCCCTACGCCAAAAGTCTGCGGGTTCGATTCCTGGTCAGGGCACATATGGGATGCAGTAGGTCAGTGTTTCTCCTTCACATCGATGATGTCTCTCTCTCCCCCTTCCTCTCTCTTTCAAATTAGTAAGCATATCCTCAAGTGAGGATTTTACACAAATTAAATGGGAAAAGAAGGAAAATATTTCCCAGAGCGGGACAGTGCCTCCCACGGCGCCTGGCACGTAGGACGGGCCCCACAAATCACTGTTGAATGGACTAATGTCTTTTCTGAAACCTAATCACTAATCTCCGGTAAGTAAGAAAGACTAAAGGCCTAAGAGAATGTTTGGAATATTGTGGCCTTAAAAAGAAAAACCCAACCGGACAGGTGTTTCCGTTACTAGGAAGTGTACCCCGAAGTACCTTTGCAGTGTTAGGGTTCTATAATTCCATAAACAGCAAGACACTGACATTGCTTGGATTCCAGTGGGGACACTGAGCAACATGACTTGGCAACCCGCTCCCTTAGACTGGAGGTGTTTTCTTGGCCGTTTGGCTTTGACCCTGACTTGGAAATGGACATGACGGGGCAGCCTTGCGTGGACTTGCTGGCCTGGCCACGTTGTCCAGCCTGGCCACCAACTCCGAGTCCTGTGGGGAGCATTGGGGAGCTTTCTTAGCTACGATGGCGTGTCCCTTTGTTTCCGTGGGCCTGGTCCTCCTGTTTCACGCAGGTCCTCAGTGGGGACTCCCTGATGTAGGACAGGTGAGTGAGCGGGCGCTGCGCCTGTCCTGCGTCAGGATGTGGATGAGACCCTACCCTTCCGTAATTACTTTATAGAGTGTCCCTCTGGCCTAACCTGTGCTACCCGTGCTTCAAACGCATCATTCAAAATGATCCTGTGCAATAGATTCTTTTCTTTTCTCTGCACCCCTGGAAGGGTGAGCAAACGTCCCCCTCCCAGGAACTGGACTTGCATGAGGTCACCCTGTTGACCAAGGACTTCAGAGCCAGGCCCTAAGGTCACTGACCTAGAAGGGTGTGTGACGATGAATTCCTTAAAGAGAAGGAGCCACAAACAACTTCCTGATACCATGGGCAACTGACATTTTGTAGGAGCGAGTCTTGTAAGTTTTCAAAGCAGCCACATCCATTTCCTTTTGCCCTAGAAGGAATTCCAGGGCAGTTGAAGCATGAAAACACTGAGTTAGGAACCTGATAAGGAAGCACTGTGTCGCTCTCGCTGGTTGGAGTCACCCAGCCCCTGCTCTGAGGGGCAGAGAACCTTCTCTGGGCGGTGGCCTTACGGTTCGACTTCTCTGCCTCCGACAAAGAGCCCTAACCCTTCATCATTTCCGATGCTCAGCTGTGCTCGTGTGTATCTGGTTAGATGATGCCACCGCCCACGCCGCCACAGCAGGTCACTTTGGAGGTGTCAAAGCTTACTCGAGATCTTGACTCCTGCTGACCTCCAAAAATTGTGTGGTGCTCTGGGTGTAAATGAGCACATTTTGCACCTTCCCTGGGGGTGCACCTCACCCAGCGGGGCTCCGGCTGCTGCCTTCAGGCCTCCACTCCCTGCCCCGCACCCCTCCTCCAGGATAGCTGGTCAGCAAGCAGCCTTGCGCCCAGCGCCCACCCACGGTCCGTGCCGAAGCCCAGTGATCCTGCCTCCCAGCACTCCAACCCCCTCCTCTCAGGAGCCCAGCATCTCCAGTGTCTCCACTGCACTTGCTCCCATTCAGTCCAGATACTCTCGGTGGAAACCCTTTAGGACCTGCCAGCCGTCCCCCTCTTTCCTCACCTTCTGCCGGTCCCCTACTCACAGCGGCCCCCTAGTCACACTCTAGGTAGCAGCTGTCGCGGGCCACCTGCAGCTCTTCAGAAACTCCCAAGTAAGCGTGCTTCCAGGACTGCCACTTGCCAGTTGCGTCACACGTGACCTAAAGCGCCTTTTCTTCGGCTGCTTCTTCATCTCTCCCCTTCACCGTGGGTCCTTGCGGGCGGGCTCCCGGACGGACCGCAGGGCGGGGGCTGCTGAGTGGGGGGCGGGTGAGTGAGCGGGAGTGAAGCAGACCCTCTCTGCCGCTGTTCCCTGTGGCTCCAGAGTTCCACTTCGGGTGACCGGTGTCCTTCCCGCTCTCCTGCCTGCTCACCACCCCTGCCTGTCTCAGACCCGGGGACAGCTAACACGGGCACAGCTCTGCCCTGGTGGCCAACTTGTCGTGTCTTCCCGTTGCCTGCACACTCCACGCCCTGCTCAGGCTCATGCCCACTTCCGGGGGGTCCGCCAGCCCCCCCATCCCCATCCCCACCCCCACCCCCGGCTGCATCTCGGGCCTCCCCACCCACCTCCAGCCCCCTAGCCTCTTCCCCACGCTCTGACACCCGCCTTGGCATTCCGCGTCTGTAGGTCCCTTTACACCAGGCCCCCATGCAGGCGTCGCCTCGCCACCCCCGCCCCCAGTCCCTGCCTACTGAACTCACAGCCACGGCCTCCCCCACCGCAGCCGGAATGAACCCTCCTCCTGAAGCGTGGAGACGCTCCATTTTCCCCCGCATTAGGACACAAATCACATTCTGCTCTGCACGGCAGCCTTGGGGTTCGCTTTATCTCTGCCTATCCGTGTTCCCACAGACCGCAGTCTCCCTGAGGTCAGGGCTGAACCCGCTCAACCCGGGGGGCCACCGGCTCTGCGCGGTCAGCGTGGAGAGGGGGTCCGCCTCCGCTCAGGCAGACTGGGGCTGAGTCTGTGTCCGGCCACTGGGAGCTGTGTGATCTCTTTCAGTCCTTCCTCCTGGGGTCCCAGCTTGTTGGAGGAAGATAATGCTACCAAATTCTCGGCATTGTTATGCAGATGAAATGAAATGAAATAATGTGTGGCTTCCCGAGCAGTCATTACTCCAGCTGCTCTTCCTGGTACCCCTGTAGGCACTCGCCATCAGAGAGGGATGCTGTTTTGTTTGTCCGCGCGCTGGTATTAATGGTCTTCACTTAACAGCGTGGCTGATTTCTGGCCATACAGAACAACGGAGGCCAAAAGTGACCCACTAGCCTTGCTGGTAAATATAGACCGTTTTTTCACTCGCTTACAACCTTTTATTACTTACTCTGGTATTGCATTGCACGGGGAATAAAAAAGGTTGCTTGCTCCTTCTGTCTCCACCAACAGAGGGCCCAAGAGCCTCCAGAGTCTGCGAAAGGCATGGCTGGAGCTTGCAGCCTTTTCGGCAGCCTCTTCTGCGCGCTGTTTTCCAGTGAAGGCCAGGGGTGACGTCTCCTCCCTGTGCAGTCCCTGGCACCTGCCGTGTGGATGGTTGCAGAGGCACCTTTGGCCCGCCAGGTCCTAAGTCGCCTTCCTTCCCGCCTCGGTTAACTTTTATTGAGGGCGTGTGTTCAAAGGCCGGGCTGGGCGGCGCCCTCGGGAAGCACAGTTCCAGCCCCAGAGAACTTGCTGACATTGAGGCCAACAGACGGAACGGACACCTAATAATATTACGCCTTTCTGTATTGTCAGGGAAGACAGAGTTGGGTTTTTTTGTGCTTATTAGCAGAGCTTCCTAAATTGAAATCACGGAGAGCCGATCCATGTGGGGAAAATGCTTCATGTCTTCTCTGCCAGCTGAGATAATGATGAAGCAATCAAAGCAAGAAAAAATACTCCGCTATAACCACAAAGAGGGCGAGAATTGATCAAATATACTTAAAACATATACATCAGTTTCCACACTTGGTGAGAAGAGGTTAAAACACAGTACTAGAAATTGACTTAAGAGCTAGACCCTGGCGGAGGGGCAGCGCGTGCCAGAGACCGAAGTACTGGGGGGAGATGGGGAATCCGCTTCCGTTTCGCCGACTGGTGATGAGGGTGGAGCTGGTGAAGGAGGAGGCGGTGATCGCGGTGGTGATGCTGGCGGGGACGACGGTGGTGATGGTGGCAGAGATGGAGGTGTGATAAGAGATACAATTTCGTAGACATTGTCAGGCACTGTGCAAATCAACTAATGTTCATTATAGCATGCAATTTTACAAAAACTCCTATGTGATAGATAGTGATCTTTGTACCTGTTCACTTTACATGTGAGGAAACGAGGGCTCCTGCGAGGAGTCTTACCCGATGTCACAGGCCTTGTGACAGCCAGAAGTGGGACTTGAACTGGGATTAGTCTAATATACAATGTGTCTAAAACCCAATACGTGCTGATGAGGCCACCCGCCTGTATTCTGTCCTAGAAAAGCACTTAATAAATATATGCTGACTCTGTGAATATGTATAAGTGATGTAAAATATGTACAAGTGTATAAGCATGTATATAAATGTAAATATGCCAAATATCAAACAGCACGTCGATGGATCACATCTCACAGGGCGAGGTGTAAGGGGGCAGACATGTCCCACCGGGCGTGTTGGAGGGGTGCGGGAAAGCTGCCTGCATCTTGAGATAAAAACCCGCCTCCGTTACCCACTATTTGAGTGAAATTTGACAGGTGGATCCCTTTGGCCTTCCAGTTGGGTGCGGTCGTCTTTACAGAAGTCCTGAGACGCCAGTTAGTTGAGTGTTCTGCAAAAAGCATGGAAAACTGAGGGCCAGGGATGGGAAGGTGCAGCAAATGAGACCATGCCCTTTAACATAAACGTTATCGCCACAAACGGTAGTGGTAATGAGAGTGTGAGGGCAGAAGAATTTTTAGAGAACTTTTAGTTCAGTTTCCTTTGCTTTATAACAAGGGAAGCTGCAGCCCAAGGTTGGTGGGAGTTAGCCAGGGGCAGGCGCTCACTGGGGGCCGCCTCCAGACCAGTCAGCGTCTCTGGCCGGACCCAGTGTTCTTCCGACTCTGACCAGTTCGTGCGCAGTACATTCTGGTGACTCTACAAAAAATATACATTCTCAAGCTGTTTTGATATATTGTTCAGCCTCGATTCAGTGACTTCGCTTAGTGGCCAGAACCTGTCGATCAATTTGTCCCTCTCTGTGTCTGATTCAGCTCACGGAGGAGATCGGAAAACTCGAAGATAAGGTGGAGTGCGCCAATAACGCGCTGAAAGCGGACTGGGAAAGGTGGAGACAAAATATGCGGAATGACATCAAGTCTGCGTTCTCAGACATGGCCGAGCGGAACGTCCAGTATTACGAACAGGTGACGAGTGGTTGGGGTATATCCCCTGATGCATCTGCAAAGTTATCTCCTCTTGCACTCTCTATCTGTCCTGTGTTGGAAGAGTATTAAGGAAACAAGTGTCACATTCAAGAGCCTCTTGGCGGCTCGGTGCCACAGGTCTTGCCGGGTAATGCAGCCAGCGATGCTGAGCCCACCCACTGAAACGAGGGTACGGGTGACTCGTTTTCTTTCTTCTCCCACACAAGCCCCCGGGGCCTCGAGCTCCACGGGAGAGGGACTGTGCCACCACGTGGCTGGTTGCTTCCCCCTCAGTGTCTTGTTCTGGAAGGATTTGTGTTCCTCACAAGGACTTGGTAAGGCTTCCTGATGATTCTCCCACCTTCCTTCCCTTGTCCCTCCCTTCCTTGGACAGTGCAGGGTCCGCAAAGTGAGGGCAGAAACAGCAGTTACAGGAGCAGAAGTCCGTCCATGTCCCGCCCCTCGAGTTCCTGCCTGCCCGACCTTCCGTGGCTGTTCCAACTGTCGGGGAAGGAGCGTGCTGTTCTTTTTTTAGTTGAGTTGAGTTCAGTTACTTACTTGTTTCAGTGATGGAAAGAACTGAGTCACCCTTTGGCGTTTCAAATGATTATTAGTTGAAAAACTAACAGATCCCCAAAATAGTGATTATTCTAAATGAATTTTATCCTAACGCTTTCTTCATCCAGCATGTTCTAGACATGTTCTAGAAGCACATACATCTTTCACCTTATCTCCGGCTGCATTAATGGATACAGGAAACCGACACATCAGGAAAACTGTTTTAGGCTTTATCGTCTATAGTGCTTGCCAGTTCAAAGGTGCTATAGACTAAAAGATTGTACTTCTTGACAGAGTAGCTAGTGGACAACCAACTGAAAGCATTCCTAAGAAAAGGCCTTGAAAATTAGAGCATGGAATATCTTATCGTTGATTACAATGATAAAACAAGAAGTGCTTTAGGGTATAAAATCACATGAAAAATGCACCTACTGTGTTTTCCTTTAAATGGTAAGATCTGTACAATTGTTCTAAGTCAGGACTTTCTTTATTTTTGGAGAAACTGCCCACAGCCACTCTGTAGAACTCCCACAGAAGTATTTGGTTTTGATCACCCCTCTCACATAAATACACACTTCTGTCATTCTCATAGACCGAATTCTGCTTCCACAAAATGACTATTTTCTCAGAAACAGTCACATTAGCCTCACGTGCCATGTTGCCACGTCGCAAATATTGTTCTTCACAGCATTTGGTATCAGTGTGTTATGCTTTTACGCTTTCCCGCAAGTGAATTATATTCCTAAGTGTTCCTGGATATATGCACACGCCAGGCACACTTCCTCTTGGATGCGTGAATTTGCAGGGATCGTTGGTTTTCCTTACTGTAACCTCAGAGGACACCACAGCTCTGGTTATTTGTTTTGTTGTGTTTTTTTTTCTGAGTGAGTGACTTCTAAGTGCTTGGCAAATGGGTCCACGCATGATCGGGGGATTGGAGCCCCGCAGTCAAGGCTTCCCGATGAGCCCCCAGACTGTGCTGTGTTCGTGGTTCAGTCTCGAGGTGCTGTGATGGGCTAACTTCAGAGCACCTCGGTCACACAGGAAGTCACACAGGAAGTGAGGTGTTCCGCCATCTTTCCATCCCCTTTGTAAATGCCATCACATTCTTATGGATATATTTCTTGTTTTCATCAACATTTGCAAAGATAAACCCCCAAGGGGGTTGTTTCTAGTGTGATAGATGAAATACAGTATAAACATTTGCCTTTGGACTTGCTTTTATGAAGTTAAATGGTCACAGCTGGTTTACAACTTTAAATTTAAATATCAAAGTGATAGAGGAAAGTCAGATTATAAATATGAGACAGAGGTCTGTTTCAGAAGGCAGTTGTTATCAGATGGAAATGTGCTTATACATGTGGATTTAATTGGAGACAGTTGACACCAAATATAAAATAGAAATTTTATAAAATGAGGTTATTCCCATTTTGTCTTGTATGACCAGTAATTAAGAATAATTTTATTCGGTATTTTTCTGAAAATGAGAAGAGCAAAACAATAAAACTCCAAATCCAATTGAACATGACGGAATCATTTCAAAGTCTATTAGTGCCCAAATAACCAAAGACAGTGATTTCCTGCTAGGATACGAAGGGACACTAAAACCACAAAACGTGACCTGTCTGGTCGGGTGCAGGGACATTTCTAGTTGTGCCCCGGCAGGAACAGAAGAGTGCCTGCTCTGCTTATTGATGCTGGTGATGGTGATGATGATGCTGGTGATGGTGATGATGGTGGTCATGATGATGATGATGGAGATGATGGCCATGAAGAGATGTCAGAGCATAAGTATATTACAGATTGAGAAGATATACCCTTTGAAAGTTTGATTTTAATATCAGAATCCTGAAAAGAACACATAGTGTGAGTTTTCGCCAAGTACAGCAGTGTGTTGTTAGGTGAATACACTGCTTAAAGCGATGGCATTTATTCCTTTGCACCATTTATCTTCGACTAGTCAGTGGATGGAGGTCCTTTTCTCATAGGCTCATTTTTCTCGTTATGAAATCCACGCGGGCATGCTAAGAACAGGCAAGAATGGCCGGAACAGAGCTAAGGACACTGACAAAGAAATGTATGGTGTACCCATAGCCTTTCCTCCTAGAGTGGCACATTCAAGTAAAGGTACAGGAAAGCAATGCACTATGGTCCGAATATTACTGAAAGTCCGCGTGGCCCTTTCCCACTGTGCCAACACGAGCGGGTGTGGTCGCATCGCCAGGTCAGAGGCCACTCCATTCGGATGCTCTTAGTCCCGTTTCAGATGTCAGGTGCCTCGTGTAAGATCACTCACGTAAAGTTCCATTGGCGTCAAAACCCTGCGCTGAGCACTGCGGAGCATCCAAATTCAAACTTAGATCTTGTCATTAGGAAGCTGCAGTTTATTAGGGAAGAAGAAGGAGTACGTAGATTTTTCACTTGATCAATACGGCTTTACAGAGAATTAAAGTTTTAATGGAAGAATATTTAAATTAATGTATTCAAAATGTACAGTCTTAGTAGAAAGGGTGTCATCACTATGGAACAATATAAATATACGTATCTGCAGGGCATTCTGGGAAGCGGGGACACAATTAGAGTGGGCGCTGCTTTCTGGAAAGTAAATGAACAGAGACGTCATGATCGGGGTGCCCCATGTAACCAAGTGAATAATCCAGCTTCTTTTCCTAAACTCCAAGTCAAGCCACCATATTTTTCAGCCCATAAGATACACCTAGGTTTTAGAGGAGAAAAACAGGGAAAAAATTTTTGAAGCAAAAAAATGTGGTAAAGTATTTAATAACATAAATAACATGATATTTCACCAATGTAAGTGTAAAGCTGAATTCAGACTATAAGATGCACCCCCCCTTTTCCTCCCAAATTTGGGGGGAAAGTACGTCTTACAGTCTGAAAAATACAGTACTTATGGACCACGTAAAAATTAGAGAAATTTTTTTTAAAAGCTAGTAATTGTAGCAGTCATTCTAGGAGCAAGTAACGGATGGGCACTGACTGTCCCAGACACCCTTCAAGAACAGTTGTGTCCACTTAGAAATATGTTCCTTGTTGGGGAATGGAGAAACTCTAGCGAAGGAATCACTAGCTTTAACTTTACTGGCACACTACCCCCGTGGGACCGTTTTGTAAATTTTGTGAGTATTTCAGACACCCTGGTCCGAGTAAAGATGGCCCCACGCAGTGACTTCAAGGGACTCATCTCTGCAGATGGTGATTACAGAGACTCCGTGGGTGGAGTTTAGATTACTCTCTGAAACTGCATTCATTCTTAAAAGCACTGGGAATCAGATCAATGCCGGCCTTGGCGCTAGTCTGTGTGAATTAAAAGGAGAAGGGGGGGATCAGCGTTCCTGGGCTTAGTGCCGCCCAGCCCAGGGGAGCTGTTCTGGAGGGAGGTACCCTTTCCAAGTGGGAGGTAAATGCTGCCTATTCTCGGTCCTAGTCCCAGAATTTCATAAAACAGTTTTTAAAAAAATGACGGGAAAGGTCGTGGTGATTTTCAGAGTCACGGACTCTCAAAGGGACGTTGACGGAGAGGAACGGCCAGTTCTAAACACAGGAGGGAAGCGGACAGCAAGCAGACGTGACCGCCCCCCGTGACTGCACCTGTGACTCGGGGCCGCGAGAGGCCAGGCCGGGCCCTGGAAAGGCGGAGGAAGAGGGACTCAGGAGCGCTGATAAAGCACACACCATGAATTCCTGATGGAAACCGTGCCAAGGAAACAGAAAACAGAACTACCACACTGCAATTTTATTTCACTCGTGTTTTTCCCACCAAGGAGAGTGAAAGTGTGCATTAAGAGATTTAGGCAAATATAAATAAAAAGGGACTAAAATCTGGAGAATTTTAAGAGATATAAGATCTTGAAGAAAGAAGATAGGTTTCTCAATAAAAACAAACAAACAAACAAACAAACATAAATCAAGTCGGGCGCCTGCCTCTGGCTCATTACAAAATCTTCCCCAGGTCTGCTCTGTGCGCAGCCTCCTGACCCATCAAACAGAGGGGGCGATACCCCTTTCGTTACCTTACCTCCCCCTTCTCCCCTCCACGCACGGCCCTCACGACTCTTTTGAGAAACAAAATTGGAAAACACATGAGCTGCCTTCAAACAAAGCAACCCACCATCAGGGCTGTGACTCCGTCATTGTCCAGTAACCCAAATGCAAATGTGCTCATTTCGGTTTTTGGGGAGGGGGGGGTGGTCTGGCTAACCAAGCACGGGCACGCTCGATGTTTGAAGCATCTGGTGCCCAAGTGGACCAACTTCATGTAATTGGCTTGTTATTAGTCAAAACCAGTGATATGACACAGAAAACGTCTGCGCACAAAAGAGACGCATCCAAAATTTGACTCATGGATGAATTCTTGCTCAGAAGATTCTGATCGCCCTAGAACTCGTGGAGTCTCCGCTTTCCCATCTGCAAAAACGGGAAGT